TCAGCTAAATGTTGCCAGCTACCTACAGATGATCTGCTTAACTGAAAATTTTAGAACTGATGTAAAAGACTTTGTAACATTGTTGACTGCAAATACTTGCGATATCAGAAAAAGTATCCTTTATTTACAATTCTGGATTAGAAGTGGAGGTGGAGTTTTAGAAGAAAGGCCATTATCCCTTTGTCGTAAGTTGATCTGTTATAAAAGAAATTTCTATAATGGGATCCTATGATAAAATATATGCTATACCAGAATATTTGAAAGAGTATAAAAATTTTGAGCATCCAGGTATCATGTTAATCTTAAAAATAAATATACATATGTCAACTTCGTTGATGAAAAGTTTTGTAAACATTAAATATGGGTAAATAGAATTAAACTGAACCTGGAACAAATTTATATGGACTTATACATTTATAAACATATAGTTTCTTGTAAACAAATATAATTATTTACCAACTTCCTTTTTCATTTATTAAAAACATATTGGTGATTTTTCCATGTATGTAAATTATTTTTATATGGCTGTATTATAAGTTCCCTTTTTGTTTCTTCAGTAGTCTGTAATTCTATTTTTCCTAAGAACTTTAATATTTCAGAAATACTTTATTTCTTATCTGTCTTCAGTCATCGTTACCTAATTCAAGTCACAGACATTTATTGAGGACTTTCTTCATGCCAGGTCCTGTGTTTACATGAATAAGACATGGTTCCCTCTCTGAAGAAGTTCATAGTTTGTGGTTTCCATGCTCCATAGTCACAGTTCTGTAGTTACAGATCCTGTTCTGGGAAATACACAAATATTTAAATAAAACCAAGGTGAAGTTCCGTAATATTAATCCCCTAACAGTTTTTTTCTTTGATTAGTTCAAAATTTTAATATATTATTCTTTTTCAAAGTAGACAAACCTATATATTTAATTCAGTGTAAGCTGGTAGCTTTAACTATTTCTTAGAAGTAAATATGATAAATAAGACATGGAAAATATCCTGTGTAAGAAACAAATTAGTTAATAACTATCGCCATACTACTGGATATAAAATGTTATACCAAGAACTGCAGAAGACAAAAACTAACTGTAGCATTTTTTCTTTCTTAAACATCTTGTATGCATTTCATTCCTGTCTTTTTTAAAAAACACAAATATACACTCATTGGAAATTCAAACAGTGCAGAAGTATATAAAGTAAAAAAGTAAAAGATCTTCCCCACTTCTTAAAGGTAGCCACTGTTAGACCTTTATCTATGCATGTACAAATATTGCTACTTAGTTACTTAGCAAAATTAAGTGATACTATATATATTGTTAAACAATTTGCTTTATTTTTACTTGACAATTTGTTGTCGGTACATACAGTATTATCTCTTTTTCACAGCTGTGTGCTGTTCCATTGATATAGACTGGATATGATGTAATTTAATTAACCATTACCTGTTAGGGGACTTTTAAATTATCTTCAGTTTGTCATTAAAGTATGCTGTGAATACCTCTATACATATATCCTTAAGCATGTCTGTGAGTACTTCTATCAGAATTCTAGAAGTATGGTTGCTGGGCCAAGGCTCTATACATTGTACATTTTGATAGGTGTTGTCAGGTTGCTCTCCAAAGATAATTGTACAGATTTATGCTCTCATGAATAGTTTATGATGGCTCTTTTGTGTATATCTCTGACAAGACTAGGTTATTAGTTGTTTTAATTTCGCCAATTTAAAAGGTGAAAAACGAACGATATTTTAATTTGCATTTTCATGATCACTAGTGAAATTGTACATCTTTTTATGAGTTTATTAGCTGTTCGTATTTCTTCTGTGACTTGCCTATTCACAGTCCTTGCACTTTTTCCTATTGGATTGTTTTATAAGCCCACCACCACCCTACTCAACCTATGTAGGCTAGAATTCATGTTTGTATTATACTCTTTATGAATTAAATACATAAATGGAGAAGAACAAAATGGGGGTATAGGTCCAAAAGATGCCAAAGAATCTTAGATTTTAAATAATTGTTTGCCATAATTTGTTAAAAATATGGATAGCTAAGATTTTCTTTTATTAATTTTGTAGGAGGAAACAGCAGAAATGTACAACTTGTTTGCTCTGAAGATGGCCCTGATTCCAAAAATAACCCTAAAAATACTAAAAGGAATCCTACAGACCTTCCCAAATGCGACACTGGCTGTGTTGAGACCTTGTTTGGCCTTAAGAACATTTTTTCCCCATCTGAAGACTTATTTTCATTTTTAAAGGTATTTTTCAATGTCTAGTTTGGAATGTTAAATTTATGTTCCGGGCCGGCCCCGTGGCTTGGTGGTTAAGTGCATGCGCTCCGATGCTGGTGGCCCGGGTTCGGATCCCGGGCGCGCACCGAGGCACCACTTCTCCGTCCATCCTGAGGCCGAGTCCCACATACAGCAACTAGAAGGATGTGCAGCTATGACATACAACTATCTACTGGGGCTTTGGGGGGAAAAAATAAATAAATAAAATCTTTAAAAAAAAAAAAAAAATTTATGTTCCTTTTCATCTTCTCAATACTCCTATGTTTTGCATCTTAAGGTTAACTTAAATTTGCCTATAATTTTTATAGGCTTCAGATTTCTGGTTTTAACACATTGTACCACTTTGACAAATGGTGCATAGGCATTGCTCTAAATGCATATCACAGGATTTAGAATAGAACTAGAAATATTTCAGATAAAAAAGACAATTTCAGAAAAGTAGTTTTTAAACAGATGAGTTTCTAATTATTGAATTGGGGTATATACTGAATATTAGAGAATTTAATTCTTCAAATTAACAGTTTAAATTTATTTTTTAGACTCACAGTACTACTATCTTGATGTATTAAGGGAGTATAGGTTAATAAAATTATGAGTAGTGACTCATTACTTTGGGGATAGAATAGGGATGACTGTCTATTCATATGGGTAGAAAAATGTTCAGACTCTGTACTGTTATAACATTTCTTTACTCAAAATTGTTTTTCAGCACAAAATCAGAACAAAGGAAGAATGGCATAAGCTCATCCAGCTTCTTACAGAATTCCAAATGCGGAATGTAGATTTCTTATATAGTAATCTTGAGTTCATTCTACCATTACCTGTTGCTATCATTCCAGAAACAGAAAACTTATGTGGTTCATCAGTAGGCGTGGACGCCAGTGCAGCAACAAAAAGTATGAAATGTCTTGCTAGGAAACATTCTGGAGGAGAGAAGCCATTGAAAAAGTCACAAAAAAAGAAACATAAGAAAAAGATGGTAGTTCTAGATGATAGTGATTTATTTGACACCGGATTGGACTTTCCTGATGAATTTATTAGCTTTTCCCCTGCATCTTCTTCCTCAAATTCAGAAGAAAGCAAAGCCAGAGACAAAGAAAGCAATCCAGAGACCAAGAAACTAAACAAATGTTTAGAGTCTAACATTGAATCTATTCCTCGTCCTCCTAAAACACCAGCAGAAAAAAAATGTTCTGCCCTTGTTTCTCACTGTTTAAATTCTCTCACCGAGTTCATGGATAACATGTCCTTCTTAGATGCCCTTTTAACGGATGTAAGGGAACAAAAGGAATTTGGTAAAAATGACTTCAGCTGGACAAATGAAAAGGTTAAAAGTGGACTTTGTGATGAGTTTAGTCTCGAGAGTAGTGATGGATGGACTTCTCAAAGCACTGGAGAATTAAAGGCAGCTGTAGAAGCTCTCAGCTTTACGAAATGTTCTTCTAGTATTTCAAAAGCATTGGAAACCTCCTTGAATTCTTGCAAGAAATTAGGAAAAGATCCAACGAAAGAGCTTACTATTTATGTTTCACAAAAGCGCAACAATGTACACTTTAGTCAGTCAGCAGCTAATTTAGAGTAAGTCTTACTTCCTTTTACTTTTTATTTTTCAATAATAAATGGTAAGGGGAAATTATTCGTTTCCTTCTTCTTACTAATTTTGAAATGCTGTGCTTTGTTGATCATGGGAAGCCCTTAATATTAATAATGTAGCTTCTAATGAAACAGTTGAGACCAGCCTGATTGCTGGGAAGAGAAATAATGAGAGATTAGGGAGGGGGCTAGATTTGGGAGACTCTTGAATGACAGGAAAAGGGGTTTGGATTTGCTGTGGCAGACAACAGGTAGCCATTAAAGATTTTTCAGATTGGGAATGGAGTGATTAATGTGTTGAAAATGATACAGGAAGTTAATCTGGAATCCACTTAATCTAGTCTAGATCAGAAGCAGGGAGAAGCAGAGACCAGAAGCTGGTTGTGTTTTGGATTGTTACACTTTTATTGAGCATTAAAAATAAAAAGTAATGCATTGGGCCGGCCCCGTGCCTTAGCGGTTAAGTGCGGGCGCTCCGCTACTGGCGGCCCTGGTTCGGATCCCGGGCGCGCACTGATGCACCGCTTCTCCGGCCATGCTGAGGCTGCATCCCACATACAGCAACTAGAAGGATGTGCAACTATGACATACAACTGTCTACTGGGGCTTTGGGGGAAAAATAAAAAAGGAGGAGGATTGGCAATAGATGTTAGCTCAGGGCTGGTCTTCCTTAGCAAAAAAAAGAGGAGGATTAGCATGGATGTTAGCTCAGGGCTGATCTTCCTCACAAAGAAAAAAAAAAGTAATGCATTACTTTTAATTTACAGCAGTGCTTGGAAGAGAATAGCAGTCATTAAAGGTGTATTTTCCAGCCGATCTCTTCTGAACCTGGGTAATAGACAAGCTAGTATAATTGAATATTTGCCAACTCTTCGAAACATTTGTAGGACTGAGAAGCTAAAAGAACAAGGAAAAAGTAAAAGAAGGTAAATGCTCTATAAAAATAACATTTTAGAGAGGTATTTCAATATTAATAAGTATTTGTATCTGATGGAAATATTAATATTAAATTGTATTTTTCCTCGTAATTTTGACAGGTTCCTGCACTATCTTGAAGGAATTCATCTTAACATTTCAAAAGAGACTGTGAACACTCTGGCAGCTGGCTTCCCTTAATATTCCATATCACCAATGCCTTGTACAGATATCATGTGGTCCTTAGGATACGTTTTTATATTGATTTTCATGGAAAAGTTTATTTCTCTTAATGTATATTTAAAACGGACTTTGTATATTTTTTATTAGTGTGCAAATATTTAAAAGGAAAAAATTTGAGTTATAAATTCTATTTATGATGGTGGTAGTATTACTTTTTCTGGATGTTTTGTATTATCTGATTTAGCTTTGTTGGAGTATTTTTGTATGTGAGTGAGCTGTTTCTAGAGGGTAGAGTTCATTAAGATATTTCTAAAGATGTTTCAATGCTAAACGAATCCATAATTTTTCTCTTTCCTGTTACCCTTAATCCACCTCTCTCCAACCAAGTGTCGGTACTCTGTCAAGTTGTAAACATGAATCGCCTAGGTGATGATCTTTTTTTAAATAAGTTTACACAATCCAAAATACAAAACTACGGATATAATACATAAGAGGGGCCGGCCCAGTGGTGTAGTGGTTATGTGTGTGCGCTCTGCTGCGCTGGCGTAGGGTTCGGATCCCAGGCACACACCAATGCGACGCTTGTCAAGCCATGCTGTGGCAGCGTCCCGTGTAAAGTGGAGGAAGATGGGCACGGATGTTAGCCCAGGGCCAATCTTCCTCAGCAAAAAGAGGAGGATTGGCGACAGATGTTAGCTCAGGGCTAATCTTCCTCATCTTCCTCACAAAAAAAAATAAATTAAAAAAAATACATAAGAAAACTTCTAGGGAAAGACATTATGCTTCCTTTTTCAAAAACTAAGATCTTGCTGATAAATTTTTTAGTGTACTCTTCCAGCATATTTTACACTGAATCATTGAATGTTGACAAAGTGAAATCAAGGTTGTGAATTGTAGTTTTCATAAATATTTTTTATCAACCATGCATGTGATATCTTGTATATTTTGCCAACTCAAATCATTTGCCTTGTACATTTTTCTTGTATTTTTATATCATTGATGTTTTATTTCATGAAGATATTAATGATGTTAATATATCTATTTTGGACAAACTGCTATTCATTAAAACTGTAACAAAGAAGGATTCAGCTATAGGATTTCTACATAATAGCCATTTCCACTTAAGGTTATGTTTTTGGAGAAAAGTATATATTTTTAATTACAAGATTTTAAAATACCAAATCATTTTTGCAATCAGATAATCAAGTGTATGTGAAAATAGTTTCCTATTTCAAGTGTTTGTTTTTGTTAGCTGAACATTCAGTGACGTTATGTGGTGAATTATATTTTCACCTCAAAAGGTAAGGATCCTAATTTTGTACAGTTGAAAAATCTAGATTTATACCTGTTTACAAATGTGTATGAAGATATGTTTTTACCTCTTATTTGTTCAACTTGCCTTTTGTTGTATTGATAGTATATTGACTTAATTAAAGGCTAAAGCTAAAAGGGTTTATGCAATATTTAAATAGGAGTTCTAGGTGTAATCATCTGGGTAAGTATGGAGATTGTATAGGTTTGGCTACAGGCTATATCTTACAGGTTTCGTCCCTGTACAAAAGAGAGAATCAGATCTGAAGCTTTTTTTTTTAAGCGTATGGATTTATTTTTTGCTACTGAATACAAGAGTTCACTACCTGTAGAGCAGTTACCTGTTAATTTAGTCTTTTATTATTAGGAAATTATGATAATCCTCAATAACTGAGGAACCAAAAAAAAATAGCTCCATAAAATTATATTTAAATGATCAAAAATCAAGAAATAATGGGGAGGGCCGGCCCCCTGGCTTAGCGGTTACGTGCATGCGCTCCGCTGCTGGCGGCCCGGGTTCGGATCCCGGGCGCGCACCGCTTCTCCGGCTATGCTGGGGCCGCGTCCCACGTGCGGCAGCTGGAGGGATGTGCAGCTATGACATGCGGCTATCTACTGGGGCTTTGGGGGGAAAAAATAAATAAATAAAATCTTTAAAAAAAAAAAAAAGAAAGAAATAATGGGGATATTTTCCTCTGTAATAGGGACACATTTAATCTTTTTTTTTTTTTTTTAGGTTTAGCATAATTTGGGGAAAAATTTTTTTCTCAATTCTTAAAGGTGATAAATTCCTGTAAAATTTAGCTTCACTTTTGTGATAAAAGTAACCAAATTTTGATGGCTTTTCAGTACTTAGCATCTTATCCTATAAATGTTTGAAATGGACATTTTCACTTACAGCTATTTCCAGAAATAGATGGGAGGTAGAATGCCACATATCTGGCATGAACAACTGGATGGTTGGTGAAGCTATTTATCAAAATGTAAAACAATGGCAAAGGAGGTGGTTTGGAGGAAAGAGAATGGTCTCAGATGTGTGTAGTTTGAGATACCTACGTTTCCAAGGTGGAGATGTTTATGTATACAACCATAAATGTAAATATAGAGGTTTACATGTGCATGGCAACAAGTTTAGAGGGTATACCAAACTCCCTAGGGAGTTGGAGGTGCTGAAAGGGAGGATTTCCACTTATTTCATATATTTCTGATTATTTGAAGTTTTTTCCAACAAGTATATTTCACTTTTAAAGGAAAGAGCAAATGCTTTGACATCAAAGAGACTTGGGTTCAGTATAGATGAGATATGAGGGCCTGAACTAAGGCAAATATAATGGAAAATGGAGGGATATGGAAAAAAAATAAGTGCTATTTTTCTCAAAAGATGGTCTGTCAAGTAAAATATTTCTAAGTAAAAAAAAATGAGCCTATTAGACAAAGCTAGTTTGTTCTGGGCCTGATAGATTGAGTTTATGAAAATTACCTTTTGGGGCCAGCCCTGGTAGCCCAGTGGTTAAATTCAGCGCACTCTGCTTCGGCAGCCCAGGTTTGGTTCCCTGGTGCAGACCTACACCACTCATCAGTGCCCATGCTGTGGTGACGGCTCACGTACAAAATAGAGGAAAATTGGCAACAGATGTTAGCTCAGGGTGAATTTTCCTCAGCAAAAAAAAAAAAAAAAAATCACCTCTTGGAGGGCGTGCATTAGACCACATTCGACCTACAGAATAAGAGGATTCCACAAGTTATCAGTCATATTTAGCTTTATTCCCAGGATGAGCACCACCCAGAAAAATCATTATTCCCTATTTTAACAATATGATAAAAATGCAAATCCTTTACTGTAGATAGTATTTGCTTTTAAGGGGAGATAACTTTGTTTTTCATTTTGGCTGTTTAGGGGGCATCTTATTGTTTAACACTTAAACCTAAAAGGCAAAGAATCTCATATTTATTGATTTGGCCTTGGCTTATTATTGTGTAAACCATTCAACAGCCAAAAGTCTGACTTTAAACATCTAAATAGATGTATTTACACTCAGACATGTTTTCTTCTCCGTTAACATGGATGTTCAAAACAGTTGATTTTACAACTTTAGAGCTAATAAATATAAATTAATATAACATTACAGCAGGTAATATATTACCCTCAGAATTTTAAGGTTCAGTGTCAAAAACTGCTAATTCATAGAAGGCAACAGCTTGTAATAATGAATCATACAACTCTTCTACTCTGTATTGTTCAGTAGATGAAAACATCTGTCTGTAGTGGACTATCTTATCTGACGGGAAGAACACCCGAGGCTCTTCCTTCAGGACAGACTCGGAGAGGAACTGCTTCACTAGTTCTTTTCCGCTAGTCCGTGTGTCACCGATCATCAGTTCAAAGTGCTTCCCCACTGCATTCCGGTTCATGCTCAGCACCTGATGCTGGCCATCCTGGGCAAAAGTTTTATTTAATAAGGCATACAGCATGGCTTCCATGATATGAAAATGTAACAGTATAGGAAACAGAGATGAGTTCTGAATTGAAAGTCCTGTTTTTTCCAGAACATAGAAGTCAGCTTCAGGTATCTTTGAAATGACTGAAGAAATCTTAAAAAAAAATAAAAAGACAAAATAAGTAAGCAGAAATAATTCATCAAGTTTTATTGTTTGGGTCCTCTCTCTGTCCCACTTCTGTTTTTAAATTATGTAACTTACATTATATTGCTGCTGACAATTTTGAAGCAATTGGAAAAGCATTTTATGGGGGAGTCAGGACAGCCAAGTTCTGGTCATGGTTCTATCAGGCACACGCTGAGCTAAGACAAGCCATTTAGTCCTCTTAAATACTAGTTTCTTCATCTGTAAAGTGGGCATCATAATTCCTAAAATCTATACAGGCTGTAAAATTAGAGAAAACTGTTCCATTAACCTTTTAAAAACTTCTAGGGTACAGCATAGGGTTAGAATAACTAGCCTAGAATCAGTCACCTGTGCAACTGATTAATCGCATCAGGTGCTTGATTGAACCAGTTTTCATAGGTATAATCAGATAATTTCTGCCCATCTCACACGGTTTCAAAGACTCAAACGAGACAATAAGTGATAAATTTTGAAAAATAAGCTTTATAAATATCATGATGAAGTTCTGTAACATTTACAATATAATAGTCCCGGGCTGGCCCTGAGGCGTAGCGGTTGAGTGCGTGCGCTCCGATGCTGGCAGCCCGGGTTCGGATCTGGGCGCGTACCCACGCACCGCTTGTCAACTCATGCTGTGGCAGCATCCCACATAAAGTGGAGGAAGATCAGCAGGGATGTTAGCTCAGGGCCAGTCTTCCTCAGCAAAAAGAGGAGAATTGGCATGGATGTTAGCTCAGGGCTAATCTTCCTCACATACACACACACAAAAATACAGTAGTCCCCCCTTATCTGTGGGGGATATGTTCCAAAACCCCCAGTGGATGCCTGAAACCATGGATAGTACCAAACTCTATATACTATGTTTTTTCCTGTAAATACTTACCTATGATGAAGTTTAATTTATAAATTAGGCACAGTAAGAGATTAACAACAATCACTAATAATAAAGTTGGCTTTGGGCCATTATTAAGTAAAATAAAGGTTACTTGAACACGCACTGCGATACCATGACAGTAAATCATAACAGAGATGGCTACTAGGTGATTAATGGGCGGGTATACAGTGTGGATATGCTGCACAAAGGGATGATTCAAGTTCCAGGCAGGATGGAGCAAGATTTCATCACGCTACTCAGAACAGCGCACAATTTAAAACTTATGAATTGGGCCGGCCCCGTGGCTTACTGGTTAAGTGCCTGCGCTCCGCTGCTGGCGACCCGGGTTCAGATCCCGGGCGTGCACTGACGCACTGCTTCTCTGGCCATGCTGAGGCTGCGTCCCACATACAGCAACTAGAAGGATGTGCAACTATGACATACAACTATCTACTGGGGCTTTGGGGGAAAAATAAATAAATAAAACTTATGAATTGTTTATTTTTGTAATTTTCCATTTAATATTTTCTGACTGCAGTTGACCACAGGTAACTGAAACTGTGGATAGGGAGGACTACTGTAATATACTTTACCAATGATTTTCTCAGTATCTGCCTTTGATACATAAGGCATTTCTTGTACTAAATGAAGAAAGATCCAATTTTTAAAAATCATAGGTGACAGAAAACATAATAGGAATGGGTGAGTAATAAGTACAGAAATAAAATCCATCCTTACTATTTTATTACATTCCTTTTAGAACTAGAAGATTAAACTACACAAGGAGCTCTAGCAGGTAGGAATCTGGAGGTGCACCTGCCTTACCTCTTTTAAATAGACAGATGATAGGTATGTTCCTTTCGTCAGTCGGCAACATTCATTTTGCTGCCAGTCCAGCACTGCCAATTTACGATCAAGGTGAGCCCAGGCAATTCTTCGAGTACCAAAAACAATGGATACGATGCTATTAACTGCCTAAAACAAAAAGGCTGGTTTAATTACAAGTGTAAACATTTTAACAGACACAAAATTTAAGCTACAAACTCAGAATGCCAAATTAGTTTATGTAATAGAAATATACTTACAGTTTATGAACTGAGAATTGCTAAAGAAATGCAGGAGTAATTATCATTAAAAGGTAACCAGTAGCAGTCAGTTTATAGACAAAGAACCTTTACTTCTCAGCACCTAGCTCAAAGTAGGCATTCAAATATTCAAATATCACTGGGGACTGCTCGAGACTGGGTGGTAAACGAGGAACATAACCATACATTATAAGAAATGCCACCATACAACAGTTACACCAGAGAGGAGAAATGGTCAGGGAAGACTTATTGTGGGGTTGGAGAATGAGATCTGAAGGTTTTTTTTTTTTTAAGTGTACGGATTTATTTTTTTCTACTGAATACAAGAGTTCACTACCTGTAGAGCAGTTACCTGTTAATTTGGTCTTTTATTATAAGAAAATTATGATAACCTTCAATCTCTTTAATCAGGATGATGATAGGAAGCAGATCAACCTGGGAAAGTGGGGGGAGACTACTTGTTTTTTAATGTATTGAGTTCAGGCTGCTTATAGGGCTTCTAACAGGAGATGTGTAATAGATAATTAGATATATGGATTTAGCTCTGTGCCAAGTCTGGGCTGGAGATATATAATACAGTGGCATCACCTCACTCCCACATGGCTCATTTAGTTATGTAGACAAATAAATTAATATGCTCTATAGATACAGAGGCAGATAAGCAGGAACATTTTATAATTCTATACCCATCTCCCTTTCACCGCTAAGGAATGGTTAAATATCCATTAAAGGCAGAATAGTTTGGATGCCCAGACATCTACAAAATACAGGCCTTCTTTTAGCTCTTTAGCTCAATGATTCTCAAGCTTTAGTGTCCATAAGAATTACTGAACCAGGTTGTATACAGCCCTTCATGGGTAACAGATTTTTTTCAAGGACTTTACTGCATGATTTTTTCCATACAAACTGACTTTAGAACCTAGCCCTCTAAATAACATGTAACTCCACTATAATCTGAGTATGAATAGTAGTTTTAGCCATAAATTTGAATGAAAATCCAAACCCTGAAAAATTTGTTTCAAGTAAGTTCCAGATCAACTGCAGCAGAGTTCTATCCAGAGACCATGGATGGACTGAATGAAATCTGCAAATCCTCTGAAAGGATGTGCAATATTCTGTGTATATATGCTATATTTTGTTTTTTTCTGAAGAGGGTCCATAGCTTTCATCAAGTTCAAAAAGTATCCGTAATCCCCCAAAAACTGAGAACTACTGGTCCAGAAAAAATTATTATGGATTAAGAGACTATTTTATCAAGTAATGCTACACAGGATCTAAGTTCCTCCAAGGTTTAATGTTTGCTGTGCCAAGTAATTCTAATATTTATTTTTTAAGACAACACTGAAAAAGATTTGCTTTTAGAATGCTTTTTAAAAGAGAGAAGGGGGACAGAAAATAAATCCCGCTGGAAAATCTGGTATTACGTTCTCAAGTCACCCCTCGGCCACAACCCATCTTTGCATCCTAATTTCTCATTACTCCCAACATAAACCTCAGACACAACCAGATATCTCCAGAACATTCCTCTCAAAGAAACCTTGCACAGACCTACTTCTCCAGATCAACTGTTCTTTCCTCCTAGAATGCCCTCCTCTTCCAGCTAACCTAACTCTCTCCCTCCAAGATCCACCCTCAGTTCCTCCAGCCCACAGTTCTCTCTCCTCTAAACTGCCAACTTACTATCTGTACATCTCCTTCTTTGGTACTGATCACATACTACTTTGTATAATAGGTTATCTATTTATAAGTATGTCTGGGCCCACCAACTAAATTATAAGCTGCCTGAAGAAGCCTGTCTTGGTGCACAGAATAGTGCTTTGCAAAGCAGGTTCTCAAATACTGAGGCAGTATAACAGATATGAAGAAAAAGGGTATACCTTAAGTCGCTCTCTTCCTATCTCTGGTTTGATGAGCTTCCTCAAGAGCCGGTTTTCCTGTAACTTTCCTTTTTTCCCTCCAGTCTCTGGGCAAAGAATATTGTTACAAACTTGAACTGTGGTTTTATACCGGAACAAGGGCACATTCATTAAACTCTCCAAATTGTGGAAAGGCCCAAACTTTTCTCTGTGCTCTACAATATTGGTGGACTTTCTTCCTCGAAGCAATTTGAAAGCTTCAAGTTCTTTATCAGATGCTGTATTCAACACATGCAAGATGGAAGCCTGCTGCTCTGAAGAGAAGAGCTTGTCAAGTGCACTTCCAGACTCCTTCGTATTTTCATCACAAAAAGCAACAGTGGGACTAGTTTTCTTAAGGGCAGTGGATTTCTTCCGACAGCACGAATTCTGTAGGGCCTGGAACAAGGACGACCCTAACGGAACTGGAAAACATCTCCACCTCCCTAAAAAGAAAATTTAGCAGAATGTAAGCTGGGATGTCTTACTTCCTTTCAGTTAGCTGTGGCTGGACCAGAGCCTTTGCAAAGTGACACAGACTTTCCCATAATTTAAGAACTAGTGGCCCATAATTTAAGAACTAGTGGACCATATTAAACTTTCCTGGAGTAGCATCTTCCAAACAAGTTGAGTTTCAAAACTATATTTATTTATTTATTTATTTATTTTAAGATTTTGTTTATTTATTTTTCCCCCCAAAGCCCCAGTAGACAGTTGTATGTCACAGCTGCACAACCTTCCAGCCGCTGTACGTGGGACGCGGCCCCAGCGTGGCCAGAGAAGCGGTGCGTCTCTGCGCGCCCGGATCGAACCTGGGCCGCCAGCAGCGGAGCACACGCACCTAACCGCTAAGCCACGGGGCCGGCCCCTATATTTATTTTTAATAGGACTTTTTGTTTTTATTCACAAGAGATGTCTACTGATTTTTGTGATTAAGTCCTAAGTTTTACTACCTAGAAATCTTATTGTATGCCCTTCAAGAAGCATGCATTTAAAACGACTGCAACTGCTTAACGTTTTTGATATTTTTAACTTCAGAGGGATCTTTTGTAATTTACATCTCTCGTTAAGAATATTTATTTTCACTAGTTTCTCATTTGGTGGGCCCAAATAAAATTAAACTTTATACGGTTGTAAGAAATGTTTTCGCTGAGTGGTAGATTTAAGGACGGTTATTTTCCTCGGTACACTTTTCAAGATTTCTACCATGACTCTTTCTGCAAGAAAAACCACACGAGGAACAACGTGTATCGCTGTAAAAACAAGAGAAAGTCCCTCGGACACCGCAGCCACAGGACAAGAACGCGGCCAGAGGTAAGCGAGCGGCCCTTAGACTCTTGCCCGCCGCCCGCCGCCCGCCGCCCAGGCCGGGAAGCAGCCGCTCGCGGACCCCCAGCGCGGGGAAGCACGATCGCTCCGAGGCTCGGGGACGGGAACGGCCCCGTCACCTCAGCTGGGGCTCCAAGAGGGAGGAAACACTCCAGGGCCAGGGGCTGAGGGCAGGCGGGAAGTCAACCCCGTATTCCAGGCGCCCTACCTCCCGCCATGAGGAGACTAGGGACGCTCATCTTGCCGTCAAATCAGCGGGCTCCACAGTTCCGTTTCCCTCCACTGACTTCCGATTCCTGCGTGCTTCGCCCTAAAAGGCCCGGCCTGTCGGCAAAAAGGTTCCGGCCTACGTGGTGTTCCCAGGCGCTTCCGGCCGAGCAGTGGATGCGCCGCGGGTGGCTGCGGGGGTCGAGGCCCGGCGCCCGCATTCCGAGCCCGTGGGTGGTCTGCAGACTCAGTCCGCAGCATTCAGGAAACCTCCGGGCCCCGACCTGCCGCTGAGAGCGGTTGGGCCGAACCTCGGGGAAGGACGTGCCTCGGCGGGTTTTAGCCCGTAGCTGGCAGGATCCCTCCTGCGGGGAGACTCCCTGGGTTTATTCTAGGCACGTAGATTGGTGCGCTCCTATTGGGCCCTGCCTGGGGCGCAAGGATCGGCGTCAGGGGGTCGGGGGAGAGCGGGACCAGATGCACGAAAAACTGTCTCACCGGGAAGAATGAAAGAACGGGGAGAGAGGCGAGGTGTTTCAGGGGCTCAGCGGGGAAGCGCGCAGCCGGGGGCCAGGGAAGGGCGAGGCAGCAGGAGGTGCCTTTGGCGCGAGGCCTTGAAAGTCGGCGCAGTAGCGGTCCATTTGGGAGGGATGGAGGGAGATGAGGCTGGCGCCACGTTTGGTTGGGCCTTGAATGCAGGATGGAGCAGGTGCATGGCTCCACCAGGTAGCCCGAAGCCACTGAGGCTTTCGTGGAGTGGGACTGGAGATGTCTTTCTAGAAAATTGGCCGTATGTAGAAGAGTGAGGCTGGATTGGAGGTGAAGAGCCTGGGAGCAAGGAGAGGAGTTGGGAGCTAGTGTATTTTCCCAAGAGACTGGCAACCGTAAGGAATTGAACCTGGGAAGTGTAAGGAGAGTGGAAAGAAAATTCTCTCTGGAAGAAGGGGAGACTTCAGCTAGTTTTGTGAAAAACAGGGAAGTCAGGAGGGAGGTGGCTTTTGGAGGGAAAGGTGATGGGTTTGTGTTTTTCTGAGGTGGCAATGTCTGGGTAGATATTGTCCAGGAGGCAGTGGGGATGTGGGGAATCGTAACTACTAATAGGAATTACTCATAGGAATTCTGGGAATCTTGCCAGTTTCTGGGGAATTTAGGAATATAACAAGAAGTAAAGCCAACTTTTGGTGCAAAATCTTCCAAATAATAGGAAATAATTTCCTTGTAACTCCAGGGCTTGTTCCATTTATTTAGGTGTTATGGGTTGAAGTGTATCCCTCAAAAAAGATATGAAGTCCTAACCCTCAGTATCTCAGAGTGTGATCTTATTTGTAAATAAGGTCATTGGAATAGGGTCGTAATTAGTTAAAATGAAGTCACATTGAAGTGGGGGGATGGCTAATCCAATATGACTCATGTCCTTCTAAGAAGACAACCATATGAATGTCATGTGAAGATGGACGCAGAGATTGGAGTGATGCATCTATAAGCCAGGAAAGCCAAGGTCATCAGAAGCTAAGCGAGAGGCATGGAACAGATTCAGTCTCAGAAGGAACCAGTCCTGGGGCCGGCCAGGTGGCACAAGCGGTTAAGTGCGCGCACTCCGCTGCGGCAGCCCGGGGTTCTCTGGTTCGGATCCCGGGCGCTCACTGACGCACCGCTTGGCAAGCCATGCTGTGGCGGCGTCCCATATAAAGTGGAGGAAGATGGGCCTGGATGTTAGCCCAGGGCCGGTCTTCCTCAGCACAAAAAAAGAGGAGGATTGGCAGATGTTAGTTGAGGGCTTATCTTCCTCACAAAAAAAAAAAAGAAGAAGAAGAAGGAACCCGTCCTGCCGACACCTTGATTTCAGGCTTCTAGTCTCAAGAACTGTGAGAGAGTAAGTTTCTGTTGTTTTAAGGCCCCCGGTTTGTGGTAATTTGTTACAGCAGCCCTAGGACACTCATACGTGAGGCCATAAGAAGCCCCAGGGATGGCTTCAGAGACGGTGTGGTTCACTGGCAAGATGCAGCAGTCACTTGCTAACTGTACAACCTTAGACAGTTTCTCACCTCTTCTGAACCTCGGCTTCCTCATTTGTGGAAGGGAGATAGTGGTGCCTGCCTCACATGGCTGGTAAGAGGATTTCTCATTAACAGCTGGATGCAGAGCACCCGGCATCTAAAAAGGGTGCAATAACTGTCAGTTCCTGCATTAGAGCGTCACCTCTTCTTGGGAGCTAATTATTAATGACCCTGAGGGAAGCTCCCTCATTCGTCAGAACGTTCATTCAGAATCATGCTTTGACTGGAGGCTGGAAGTGGCAGGGAAAGAGGCAACCGCTAGGCCTGATTTGCTGGAAACCAGAATCAGGGCGTTCAAAATGAAAGTCGTCATCTTCCCCAGAAACAAGCTCCTTCTCACTTCCCTGTTTGTGCCGCCCAGATGCGGATGTCGCTGGCCCCTCCCACTCCTTTCATCATCATGTCTAGCCTGTTATTTAGTTTCTATGTTTTTAAAGCTTTTTTGACCATGACCCAGGACACATAGATGTACATGTGAAACAAAAGCTTCCTAAAAAGAAACTTGTGTTTTTACGTATGATGCACCTTGATAGTTTCTATTCTGTTCCATTTTTTTAAATGCTAATCATTTTTAAACTTTCTAGACTTCAGGCGGGAATGTCTAGTGGAGAGTTAGATATGTAAGTCCGAAGCTAATGGAGAAGACTGTGCTGGGGTGTGGATTTGGAGACCGTCAGCATAGAGAGAGGGCCCTTTATCCCCTGAGAATGCCCGGGGTGAGCCAGGAGAGGGGTGGCGTGAGAAAAGCACGGTGAGGCAAGGAGAGAACTCGGGGGGCACCAGCACTGGGTGTGAGTAGAGGATTCGGATTCCCCAAAAGGTTAAGAAGAAATATTCAGAGAAGTTTAAAAGGAAATGGGACAAAGTCAAGTTCAAGAGACTAAGGACATAGAGGATTTTGAGGAGGGAAGAGGTTAAAAAAAAAAAAAAAGCTGAGTTAGAACCACTGAATTGACATTAATTTCATGACTCACGACTACTCAGTAACTTCCAGTTTAAAATACATGAAATTCTCTCAGCATTACTTGCAAAATGTCTTTTTTGCTTCTTCCTGCTATGACCACCCTCATCAGAGCCTCATAGTCTCTCACCTGGGCTCTTCCTGGAACACCCCCCACACCTGATTTCCCAGCTTTCTATCAGCCTAGCCCCTCCCTTTCCTTCACACACAGCCTACCTGTCCTGGCCAAAAGCCCCAGTGCTGACTAAATCTCCAACTCCTGCTCCATGGGGGCCTCACCTTAACCTTCCAGCTCTTTCTCTGCTCACCAGCAGGCACCCATTGTGGCGCCCAACACCCACGGTGCTGCCTCTCCTCCTTCCTGATAGATGCCTGGTTGTAGGCAGGTGGCAGCGTCTTCAGGGAAGGTAAAATAGTTATAGTGGTCCCATTTCCCTTTTTTTTTTGCTGGGAAAGTTTCACCCAGAGCTAACGTCTATTGCCAATCTTCCTCTTTTTTTGTTTTTTGCTCCCCACAGCCCTAGTACATAGTTGTATATTCTAGTTGTAAATCCTTCTAGTTTTTCTAAGTGAGCCACCACAGCATGGCTACTGACAGATGAGTGATGTGGTTCTGCACGCAGGAAGCAAACCTGGGCTGCCAAAGCAGTGAGAGCGCCAAACTTTAACCACTAGGCCATCAGGGCTGGCTGCCATATCCCTTTCTAATGATTAAGATAAGAGTGGATGTGATTCTGTTTGGGGCATATCAGGGAAAGATTTTATATCCTGATAGACAGTGGGAGGAGAAGTGGCTGCCTCCCCTTTCTCGTGGCTCTTGTGACTGTGGGAGGATGAGCCGAGAGGGGCAGCCGTCTCTCCATGGACAGGCAATGCTGACAAGGGCGTGAAGCAAAGAAAGAGGGATGGCACGTAGGCCTTGATGACATTGCTTACCTGCTGGACCAACCCTGAAACCACCCACTTGCAGACTTTTGGTTCAGTAAGGGAATAACTGATGTTATTGTTTAAGCCACTTTTAGGTCAGTATTCTGTTACCTGGAGCTGATAACTTCCTGATTAATACACCCAAGTGGGAGACAAACTGGGCGACTTGAAATTCCAGCACGCGTTCCATGCTGTCTCACCCCTGCGCCTTTGTGCCTGCTGGTCCCTTGCCCTAGGATGCTCTCTCCCCAAAATGGTCTGAATTCTGCTCACCTTTTAAGGGCCAACAAGGGTGGCCTCTGCCCTGAGAAGCCTCCCTGTCTCCCAAACCAGAAGTGATACCAAACCTCTTAATTTCAGGTTCATGTGCCTGATGTGCAATAAATCAATCCCTGAGACATCGGTGCTTGGAGATAGAGAAACGTTTATTCAAATTAGTCAAAAGGAGAAGGCAGGAGGATAGGTTTGCTCAAATTCACCCTAACAAAAGGAGAATGCAGGGGTTTTTGTAGAGCTAGGGGGCTTGGGAAGGCAAGTTTCCTAGAAACAAAAGGGGAAATCTGAATTTCTTTCACTCCAGGTAAGCCCTTGGGCAATCAGACTTCTGGTTTAACAAGATTAACTTCTTTTCATCTGTGTCTGTGTTGGGAACCAGCTCAAAGGATAATCACATTCTTATTGAATACAGTAACTCTCAGGTATCCGGCTTCAGAAGCATCCTCTCCCTTCTCTCAAGCACTTCACTCATGTCTCTCTCATAATACAGACTGTCTTGAATTACAGAGCTTTTATGTTTTGTTTTGCTTTGACTACATGTCTTTGTCCTCTTATTTGGCTCTACATTTTCCCGAGGTGATCTGGAAGCTACCAGCTAGAATATGTCAAAAATCTATTCCTGCTGTCTCAACATTGCTCATGGAGACAGAGGAGCTCAATGGTTATGGTCAAACTCTGGAATCAGTCAATCCAGTGTTTTAACCCTGTGTTCCAATCCCAGCATACTAATAGTGTGAACGGGGCAAGTGACGTCACCTCTCCGAGCCTCTTCAGCTCCCTCTAGAGCACGAGGGATACAGGCTGTAATTCTACCCCCTATAATACACAGCACATTGCCTGGCACACATGGGGATTCATTAAGTGTTTGTTGAAAAAAATAAATGAATGATCACATGTCTAACATCCAAAAGGTTAATTTTGTTTGGGAAAAACATTAAAAATTAGTGCTCCTTAACATCATGACCTTGGCCTAGGCAAACATTTCTAAAACAGGACATAAAAAGCATTAACCATAAAGAAAAAAATAAACCTCATTCAAGTTAAGAACATCTGTTCATTAGAAGACACCAGTGAAACAGCAAGGTACAGAGTAAAAGGAGATATGTGCAATATGTGTAACTAATAAGAACTCGTATCCAGAATATATCTTTATTTTATTTTATTTTTTAATTAATTAATTTATTTATTTATTTTTCCCCCCAAAGCCCCAGTAGATAGTTGTATGTCATAGTTTCACATCCTTCTAGTTGCTGTATGTGGGACGCGGCCTCAGCATGGCCGGAGAAGCGGTGCGTCGGTGCGCGCCTGGGATCCGAACCCGGGCCGCCAGCAGCGGAGTGCGTGCACTTAACTGCTAAGCCACAGGGCCACCCCAGAATATATCTTTAAAATCCTACAAGTTAATAAGAAAAAGGCAGCCAAACCAACTGAAAAAATGGGCAAAAGACTTGAATAAATACTTCACCTAAAGACAATATTCACATGACCAATTAGCAGATGAAAAGGTGTTCACCTTTATTAGTCACCAGGGAAATGTGGATTAAAACCCACATTGTGATACCACTACACCCCCACGAGAATAGCTGAAGTGAAAAGGACAGATAATACCGATAGATCAATAGACTGGAGTATTGGCAAGAGTGTGGAACTTTCATAATGCTGATGGAAGTGTGATTGGTAGAATCATTTTGGAAAACTCTTTGCAATATCTACTAAAGCTGAGCAGATGTATACCTGATGGCCCAGCAATCCCATCCCTGGGTATATATCTATGCAACAGAATGCAACCATATGTGCACTAAAAGACATGTAGTAGGTTGAACTATATGTATAAAATTGCCAGTATTTCACAGTTGTTGATTTACAAAAATTGCAATTTCACGTGGTTAAACCTAATACTAGAATGTTCATAGCAGCACTATTTGTATTAGCCTAAACCTGGAATATCTCAACTGTCAAAATATTACACATATATTGAATAAACTCCAGCTACACCCAGCAACATGGATGAATCTCAACGTAATGTTGAGTGAAAGAAGCCACATACTTATATAAGGTACAAAAACAGACAAAATAATTTATGGTGATAAAAATCAGATTACCTTGGGGGGCTAGTCACTGAAGGGGGAATGAGAGCCTTTTGGAATGCTCGTTTATGCTCTTTTTTGCAGGGAAGATTCACCCTAAGCTAACATCTGTTGCCAGTCTTCCTCCTTTCTCTCCCCAAAGCCCCAGTATATAGTTGTGTATAGTTGTAAGTTCTTCTGGGCGGCTATGTGGGCGGCTGCTGCAGCACAGCAACTGACAGACAGATGATATGGTTCCGCCACCGGGAAAGGAACCTGGGCTGCTAAAGCAGTGAGAGCGCGGAACTTTAAACACTAAGCCAACAGGGCTGGCTCTATGCTCTTTTTTTTTTTTTTCCTTTGGTGAGGAAGACTGGCTCTGAGCTAACATCTGTGCCCATCTTCCTCTTCCTTGTATGTGGGACCCCGGCCACAGCATGGCTTGATGAGAGGTGTGTAGGTCCAAGCCTGGGATCCAAACCTACCAACCCCAGGACGCCAAGGTGGAGCGCTTGAACTTAACCACTACATCACCAGGCCAGCCCCTGGTGCTGATGCTCTTTTTTTTTTGAGCTCTGGGTGCTAGTTAAACATGTGTGTGCACTTGGCAAAAATTCATCAAACTGTATGCTTATTATTTGTGCACTTTTCTGTATGTTCGTTATACTTCAATAAAAGTTTACTTAATTAATTCTCCAAGTCATTTGAACTAGATAATGCATCATATAAGGTTTGACTATTTATTTAGTGATATAATCCACTTTATTGTCCTTTATTCTACTTTATAGTCCTCAGTCATTCACCTCCTCAAAGGTAGCCAGGACTCCCGCGAAAGGGCTGCTGATTCTTGGCTAGATCCTTCAAGGCAGAGGGCACGCGACACATCTCCCCAGTGATATTTTGTGGAGGAAAGATCATTGGTCCTACTAATCTGAGTCTGGGAGAAGTTTTGGATTTTTTTCCTGCTTTTATGTTACATTTCATTATTATTTTTTCAGTATTGCACACAATTAAAATTATGAAGCAAATGATCAAAGTAAAAAACAGCATTCACAATTTGAGACCCAGAGTCAGAATACTTGAACTCCCGCGCCATAGCTGCTACATATAATATGCGTGTATCTCAGTTTATCTCTATAACAACAGTTGTCTCTTTTGCAAAATAAAGTTCAAAGTATCACTCTTACAAGGTTGTTGTGAAAATGAAATTATATAAATCTCTGGTAAAATAGAAAATGTTATACAATGAGAGACATTATTAATTGGACAATTGATTATATAGATTGAGATGAGGTGTGATTGTCTAAGAAAGGATTTCAAGAGGAAAATAACCAGGGGCTGGCCTGGTGGCACAGCGGTTAAGTGCGTGCACTTCGCTTCGGCGGCCCGAGTGTTCGCTGGTTCGGATCCTGGGCGCACATCGAGGCACAGCTCATCCAGCCATGCTGTGATGGCATCCCATACAAAGTAGAGGAAGATGGGCATGCATGTTAGCCCAGGGCGGATCTTCCTCGTCTAAAAGAGGAAGATTGGCATCGGATGTTAGCTCAGGGCTGGTCTTCCTCACACACACACACAGAAAGAAAGACTAGGGGAAAAAAAAAAGAGGAAAATAAACTACATGCTTTATAAATAATCTTTTTTATTTTAATAAATAAAATTAATTTTGATTAATATTATTAAAATTAATAATTGATTAATTTAGATATAACTAAAGGAAATAGAAGTTTTAAATTTTTGAACCCAACTTTAAAAGTTAGTTCAATAGGGTAGCAGCCTGATGTTCAAATCAAATTTCCAACAGATGTCACCCTAATCCCTTCAATTGTAGCTGTGACTAACCTATGACTAACTTCTCACACAGTGCTCCAGGTAATGATATAAAATGTAAACATTCAATTATCCTGTGTTTATTCAGCACTTATTTCATGGCTCTTTAGATTTCACAGCTGGATTTTTCAACTCTGAATTTCTGATGGGTTGTTGTATTTTATTCAGAATGCAAACTCCCATACGCCAGACTGCCTGTGGAATGGAGTTCTCAACTCTGCTCAATTCGGCCAACACTTTTTTTATTGTGGCAAAAGTGACATAACATAAAATTCACCATTTTAACCATTTTAAAGTATACAATTGAGGCATTTAGTACATTCACAACCATCACCACTGTCTAGTTGCAGAATATCATCAACACCCCAAAAGGAAACGTACCCATTTAGCAGTCACTCTCCATTCCCCGCTCTCCCCAGCCCCCAGCAACCACTAACCTGCTTCCTGTCTCTATGGATTTGCCTATCCTGGACGTTTCATATAAATGGATAACCAACATTTTTTGGCCCCAGCATTTGCTATGCACCAAAGGTACGAAGATGAATATAACAATCTACTCTTCCAGAGATCACTGCCAACTGGGACAAAAATAGATTAAAAAACAACCATAGTACAATGTGATGATGATTGTAATAGAAATACAAACATTGTGGGAACATAGATGAGTGAGAGAGGGGCAAGCTGTGAGAAGTAAGATTTGAATTTGGGCACAGAGGCAGGAGTTTGCTAGACCAATGGGGGCTGGACAGGAGGGTGGAGTGGAGGAGGGAGCTGGAGTAGGAGAGGGAGCAGCGTGAGCAAGACATGGAGTTGGACAGCTCTGTGCTCAAGGAGGTGGACAAAGCACGCCCCAAGCATATTACCACCCCAGGGCCTTTGCACTTGCTGTCCCCTTTTCCTGAGATGCTCTTCTTTCAGATAGGTGCCTGGTTGACTCGACTTCTTCCTTCAGATCTTTGCTTAAATGTCACCTCCTCAGAGAGGACTTCTTTGACCTCCCTATCAAAATAGCATCTTCCATCCCTCTCTACCCCTTAGTCTATTTTCCTTTATAGCACTTATCACTCTGGTACCATATTGTGTGTAGGTATATTTGTTTCTCTGTTCATTGAAGGTGAGCTCCACGAAGGCAGGACCTTTTGCTTTGGTTATAGCTATTTCTCCGGAACCCAGAACACTGCCTGGCACATAGTAAGTGCCCAATAAACATTTAATGAGTGAATGAGCAAACACTTCTGCAGTATCACAGTGGGGAGTCCCTCAGGGCTCTGAGCTGGTTCCTGTTGAAGACAAAGTGATATTGAATATACAAACAAATAGGTGAACTCGATCAGATTCTTCTGCTTGATTGTCTACTATTTCACATGCCTGCCTGTTATTTCTTTCTTTCAAAAAAGAAAATACTTTTGTGATCCCAAGTCCACTCACTTTATTGTTATTTTTTACCCATACTCATTTCTTCGTTTATTTGGCAAATATTTATCGAATCCCTGCTATGTGTCAAGCAAGTGCTGAGAATACAATGGAGAACACACCTGACCTCACCCTGTCCTCACGAAGCTGAGATGACTAAGGGAGGCCAGCACACCAGTGAGCAACCACAGTAGAGTGCAGTGCTTGAAAATACAGTGTTAAAAGACGGAAAAAGCTTTGGGCACAAAAATACTCACTACAGCATTGTGTATAACCGCAAAAAATTGGTCACAAGCTATATGTCCAATGACAAGGAAATATACATATCCTGTGGAATATTACATAGCTGTTAAAAGGATGTCATGAAGCATCTATAATAATATGATAAGAGACATAAAGTAGAAGAAGGATATAAAATTGTATGAAACATATGGTCCCAATCATATAAAAAGATGTATAAAAGAGCAGAAGGAAATTCATGAAAATGTTAATGAAGATGGGTGGTGGGACTATCAAGAGAACAGTATAGGTTGAATTGCATGACATTCCTATTTTGTAAGTCCACTTCAGAAAGTTCAACCTAACGTATTAATGAAAACGGCCCAAGGCAAACTTGGGTTGGAATCCCAGCTCCAGTACTCTGCATCATCCAGCAGGCATCCTCTCAGCTGTGTAACTTGGGACAAATTTACGGAAATTCCCTCTCAGGGCCTCATTTGCCTCATTTTGTAAAATGGGTGTAAAAATAGTCTATTACTGAAGATTAAATGAAATACCGCATGTAAGGGGCCTGACAATCAGCAATCCCTGGATAAATGGTGGCCTTAATCGTGGGTGGTATTTTCTTTCTTCTTTATTGTATTTTCCAAATTTCTTGTAATTATAGTTTTTTAAATCCTATAACTAATAAACATAATTATTTAAATTTTCAAAGGGGTTCTGGTCTATTCCCTGGGGATCTTGAGCCCAGTCCAGCGCTGGGAATGTGGTAGAAGGCTTTTCTCCAGCCCTGCTGCGGTTGGGCTCAGCTTGACAGACAATGATCCTGAGAGCAGGGCTGGATGTTTGTGCTCTGAGGGACCCTGGGAGCTTTATTTACAGAGGACACTCTGTCCCAGGGCCCAGACTGCCCCTTCACCCCAGCAGCTGCTGTCTGGACTGAGCCCATGAGGGAGGCTAACCCAGCCCACCCTGCCGCTCGAAGCCTGGCCCCTAATCCCAGTGCTGGGTGTCTGCCTCAGTCCCGACAGCCTTTGGCACAGTGCTCTTACCTTAGGAGCGGCTTCTGGTTCACGAACACAGAGCTGAGCTCAACTTTTGTCATTTCCAATACTTACGAGTGGGCTGCAGAGTTTCTCTTTGTGGTGATGAAAAAGTCAAGGGAAATAGATAATGGTGATGGTTGCACAACATTGTGAATGTAATTCATGTCACTGAATTGTACACTTAAAAGTGGTTAAAATGGCCAATTTTATGTTATAGAGATATTACCACAATTTTTTTTAAGTGAAAAAAAAGAAATATCCAGGAATGGGAGGACTCAAGCGAGAGCAGGCTTGTCCTGTGGGGTTTTGTGACATAACCTGGGACGGGGCGACACGACAATAGAAAACCTGGATTGAGGCCCCTGCTCTGTTCCTTATTTGGCCCCGTGACCTTGGGTAACTGAACTCCTCTGAGGGCTGTCATGAAACTCAAATGTGACCAAATGGTGCGAAACTCTCTGTAAAACATTCAATAATTGTTAATTAGTGTGATCCCCCTCTCTCTCCCCTCCCTCCCAAAAAAGAAAGAAGGAAAGAAACCCACCACAAACGAAATACAATAGCACTTTTTTGTCTTTGCTCTGAGGAGGCCCAAAATTCCACCTTAAGGCTTGGAATTTCTGGAGGTTACACGGAAACCTCCAGAAATCAGGATGAAAAAAGGGGAAACTAAAGGAATCTCTCAGTCTCTGGCTCCTCACTGTGAAGGAGATATATTTTCCCTTTGGTTGGCTTTTGTGGGACCTCCAGGGAGGGGATGGTGAGACTCAAGGTGCCAGAGGAGAGCAGCTCAGTGGGACACAGGCGCACAGACCGGGGAAGGCCACCCCGACATCACAGTTGTGCCCTTGTATTGGGCAGCGGAGAAAGGATGTCTTGCCTGTCCCTTCTTTGTCCCTCTACTTGTCCCCTCGCCTTGCCTTCATACCTTAGTTGCCTTTCCCATCTTTCTCCTGGGAGATTTATTTCTGTCCCTTTTTTTCATCTAAAGCAGCGGAAATGAATCATCTTTAGGCCTGTTGGTAAACAGCCCCATGCCCTCTGACCTCTGCTGGGCTCTCTCACTGGTTCCTCTGGAGCTGCTCCTGGGCTAGGCCTCACCCCCCACAGTCAAGACCCTCCTGGCTGGTTATTCTTGGTAATGTCCTCCTCCCAGCAGGCTGGAAGCTTGACCTCCTTCACCCTGGGGAAGATGGGAAATGACACACAGCATTCCAAATGACGATCCCATGAGCTGACCAGAGGGGCAGGGGAAGCAAGGGAGCCACCATGTTTTGAAGTCTTTGTGTGCCATGTCCTGGCACATCTCAATGACCCTATTAGGTGAATCTTGCAATCCTCATTTTACAGATAGGGAGTCCAAAGCTCAGAGAAGTGAAGGAACTTGCCCAAGGCCACACAGCTAGTAAGTGATGCATTCTTGGATTCACTCCGTTATACCAAGCTGCCCTGTGTGTTCACGTGTGTACACGTGTGTGTTGAATTGGGGATGCAGGCAGGTCAGCTAGAAAATCAGCTGCGATCCATCAGGATGGAAACCTAACATCCATGTGCATGAAGCCATATGCATATGACAGATGGGAGTTTACTCACAGGGGGATGGCAAGTGTGTACCTTACCAGGAGCCTGTGGGTCTCTGAGGATGGTGTCAAAGAGGGACAGGGGTGGAGGAGGGGGATGAGGATTAATGAAATGCCCAGATTCAAGACCATCTAGGCCCTGCCCACATCTCACAGTGATGGAACTTCACAGATAAAAGTGCCCAGCAGTGTCCCTGTTGGTGAAACCACACTTCCCGGTGAACACAGTAATTCCACTATTTATTGGCCTTCTAAAAATGTGCAGGTGCTGTTTCTAGGAGCTATGTGGGATACAGAAATAAAACTACTGACATCAAACTATCTAGTGTGGGCACTTGGGTATGGGGGGGATTAACATAAATATATAAATGACTGTGATGCAAGGTAGACAGAAAGTGCTCTGGGCCAAAGGGATGGGCGGATCCTATAGTATGGCGTTTTAGGAGGACCAAAAGCTGGAGGGATTACTCGAGCCTGGGTATCAAGGAGGGCTCCCTGAGGAGGTGGTGTTTGAATGTCTCTAAATCTCTAAGTACGTGGATGTAAGATCTACATCAGTAGAACACTTTAACAGAAGTTAGGTCCTGTTTAATTCTCCAAGGAGCCCTGAGACGCAGACATATGCCCTTATTCCCCTTTTCCAGAGGTGGAAACTGAGGCGCAGAGAGGTTGACTAGGTCGTCCACAGTCACGCAGCGAGCAAGTGGCGGGTCAGGACTTGATCGCGGGCCAGTGCCACCGACTCCGAGCGCGGCGCCCCGGCCCCTCCCCGCTGGTGCCGGCCTCAGCTCGGGGCGCGTCCGCGGAGCCGGGGGACAGACCGCAGGCGCCGGGG